ACAGGTGAAAGTTCATAGTATAATGAATGCAGAGCTCTTTCTAAAAATGGCTGAAGTATATTAACAGGCATCAGCTAAAGGGAATACTTTTGATTTGTTGTTTAAAATGAGCAGGATTTATAATTTCAATTGGCTGGAAATGCCATGGGGAGATGGAGATTTAGGTACTGTATGCACTTTTTAAACATAATTCCTTGTTCTTGCCTGTTTATTGTAATGTTTTAACCTTATCTCTGCAGCATTTACAGAACCGCAGGCTGTATTCCTGGTAAATTTAGAAAGCAGATGGCTTAGAATGCAGGGTCTAAATATAGTCAGCAGCACTTTGCATTTCAGTTAGAGAGGAAAGAAATCATAGGAGATAGTAGGCTAATATTTTTAATAGTGGATATTTTTCCAATCTTCCTTTTTAAAATGTTGCTTTTTTAATTTGAGAGAGCTAGGCCTGATGCTATCCTTATTAGAATGGGTGAAAAGCTTCCATGAATTTTGTGTCTCAGACCTTTGCAAAAGCACAAGCATTTTCCAAAAATTAATTTACATAGAGGACAGCAGAATGAATAGTAATATCTACAATTCTGCCAGCAATAGTAACAATCACATAATGGAGCACTCAGTAGCAGGCATCGCAAGTTCCTGAGTTTCACTCTCATCCATGTGCTGGCACTTGTCCTTGAGAAATTGTAATGCCCATTTTTCCCTATGGGGTTGCCTTGCAAATATTGTTAGTGTTCACAAGAGCTCTTTAGTTCTCAGTGCCTTTCCCAGTGCCTAGAAGTTAAATATCAAAAGAGAAAGTGGAGTGGGGGAGAGATGCTTCTTGACTAATGTATAGACGCACAGACAAGCATAGCCGTAGGTGCTAAATGCAGGAGTATTTGCAATGCAGCAATATATTCTCAAACCCCCTATACAGATAGTAAAACTTTCAAATATGCAATAAGAACAATCATATCCCTAGTAAGAATAAATATTCCCTTAAGAACAACTTGAGAATTGTTAATGAAAACCGTCAAGTCCAGCTGCAAGCAATGTTTTTTTGGAAGCCCAGTGCAAAACAGACCCTTGCAGAGTTCATGTGTATAATATGCCACATAAGACTATGGATGAGCGCCTTCAGCTATAAGAAATGGGGTGGGAGCTGCTCAGGCAGTAATCTTTGTGGGTGAAGAGAGATGTTTACAAGTAGACAACTGCACTCCCTTTGCCATCTATGAAATGTTAGAGAATGACATTTGCAGACAGCTTTCTAAGGGACATATGTAAAAAGGGACACAGGATTAAATAGCAAAGGGAAAACAGATAAGGATGAATGTGAATTTGTAGGGGGAAAGGAGCCGCTTGGCTGGCTTGTTGCGATGCTGTATTCTGGCTTCAAAAAAAAAAAAAAAAAGATTGGTATCAGTTCAAAATGCCTTAGGGATGTTAATAAGGTCTTTTATATTCTTGATTCACTTCCCTAGTACAGCAGCTCCTGTTGGCAGCAAAACAAATTGGCACAAGCAAGTGCTGAATTTTCTGCAGTGAGGATGCATCAAGATGGTTGTAAACAACAGCCACTAACCTCTGATGGCGGGTGGGAGGGGGGAAGTGTCAGCATATAACAGAACATTTGCTTTGGGGTTTCATGATTTTCTCATGGAAACATTGCCTAAGATTTATGAAGCATGGTTCAGTTTTCCAGCATATGCTAGAGTTGCGTTTTTGGGAAACATTAAGTGTGCAATCCTATGCAGGTTTAGAAAGAAAAAAGTCCTAGAACTTCCAGTATTCCCCAGCTTAACCCATACTGACTGCGGAAGGCTAGAATGACTTTCTTCTGTCTAACCCCAGAAATGATTGCACTCTAAGTGTACTTTGAAGAACACTAAATTGCTTTGCTCTGGCAGAGTTCTGTACAACCAAATGATGATCGTGTAGCAATATCTTCTATAAACCCTATGTTTCAATATGATCCAAAATTGCTCAGTTTGTGTAATACTCCAAGGCAGATTTTCCCAGCCTGGTGTCCTCCAGAGGACTAGGGCTGCAATTCCTATCATACCCAACCACAATTCTTGTCAGGGAATTATGGGAGCAGCAGTCAAATACATCTAGATGGTTGAAGGAGACTTCCAAAGGACAGAAAAGCAAACTGGTATTTCTACCAGATAGAGGAAGGATCCATTTGCCTACTGCACTAGATTATGGAAGCTGGAAGCCTCCTTTTACCAAGATGACTTGCAGCTCAGTTCTAATATGTTGCATGTGCCCAAGTTCAATAGGATTTGCTTCCAACTATGCAAACAAGTGGTAACTTTAAATGTAGCAGTCTAATTGCATTCTGAAAACTCCAGACTCTTGTCTTTTTCTACAAGTACAAAATAATTTACATACTCTAAGATGATGTGGATAATGTGGATCTTCAAATGTGATCTTCTGTATACTGTTTATCATAAAATATTATTGGATATTAATAAAAATACATTTCTGCAACTTCAACTGAACAGTGATATTGTTTCATAGGTTCTTGGGCAGATCGCTCACCACTGCATGAAGCAGCAAGTCAGGGACGCCTCCTTTCTCTCAAAACCTTAATTGCACAGGTAAAAATGCTATAGTTATATTTAAAACATGCTTTGTTTTTATACATTCTTCATTAACATCTGGTGTTACAAAAATAACATTTTGGCATTTTGTTGGTTAATCACTTCTTTAGACCTCCTTATATTCAGTACTTATATAAAATGCTAAGCTTGGGGGTCGGGGGGATGCATGCAAGCATAAACTCCTGCTCAGTATTGGCCTGCAAAGTACGCAGCCTGTGGATGCCATGACCGCCAGCTCACATAACTTCCTGTGTGCAGCAGAAGACTTTGCTGATAATGAAGCTCAGGCTACTTCTTTGGGGAATTGGACAATCAGTGCCAGATTCAAGGCCCTGGCACCATCTTCTGGCTCAAGGGATGACTCACTGGAAGAAGCTCCATCTGCCCAGCCTCACAAAGTCTTGGGCTGCAGAATCAAGTGAGGGCCCTTTAACAGTCCAGTGAGTTCCTCCACAAGGGGTGGAGCTGACCTCACTAAGACTTCTGTTGGCTCTAGCTACCTGCTGAAGCAACATCTTCCTATTGCCCTACTGGGAGAGAGTTCCAGACACTAGGAGCCATCCGTTCTTCTAATTTCTTCATACATTTCTGCTCTGAACTTAAAATAAGCTTCTGCTGTGACCCCAGGACACTTGTACTGGTACTCAATACCTTGCAATTGTTCAGTGTAAAACTAAAAGAACAAATATGTAAAAGAATCGCCACCTAGAATCAGAAAGTTAGACAAGTTAGAATTGGAGAGGGAGCAGCAAAAACTTGGACTTAGCTGTGACCCGTCCATTACATCCTCATCATCTGGACTCACTAACTTGCACACTTGGGCAGGTGAGTGCCTCTGGTACTCATATAGGCTTCCCATGCAACTCAGAAAGAACCTTGATTCTGGTGGGTTCTAACTGGGGTGGAAAGCCAAGACAAGTGCAGCAGGCTCTCTACTGAAGAAGTTGTCTCTCCAACATGTCAAGCAGCAACTCTGAAGTTCCAAAATATTCCAAATATGAGTTGCATCCTTTCATTAGGCTAGCACTCACTGAGGATGGCCTACCCCATTAGGTTTACCCATTTCTTTTGTGCATCATAGGTATTGTTTGCATTTTAAAAAACCCTTCTGATCTGTGACATCTTTTCTTTTTGATTGGGCTGAGCCTTTATTAGGAGACAGACCAGCTTTGCAGAACTAGTTGTGACTGTTCATTTCTTCTCTTATGTTTAGGGATACAATGTAAATTCTCTAACCATCGACCAAGTGACTCCACTGCATGAAGCATGCCTTGGAGATCATGTTGGGTGTGCTAGAATCCTTCTTGAAGCAGGAGCAAATGTAAGTATTATTCTTGCCTGTAAAACTTGCATTGGTATCAAATTGGATTGTGGTTGGAAGACACTGAGGGGTCAGTGCATATTTTAAAGTACGGATGTAATGTGGCACCTATTCTATAAGAAGGGCAGATGCTGCTTTCTGTACCAAATAACCATCATAAATAGAGCAATCCATTACAAGTTTACTGATCTGGATTTTCTGAACACTTCAGGAATGTAAAATACTAGCCATATAATTTCAGTGTATGCAGCACCCACCTTTCTTGAATACCACATTAAGATAGAATTCAAATTCTATCTGACCTCTTCTTTGTGTTGCCAGTTCTTTTATATTCTGAGATATATTTGCAATGACTCCCAGTGCATTTCATGGCCTGCACATGGGTTGCTAGTGGTGCTCCCTGCTGCAAGTCAGATTGGCAGAGATTCCCTTGCTGTACTCTTTTTCAGTAAGAGAGAGGATTTAAAAAGTGAGTCGGAGAAGGCAACAGATTATCACATGACAGAAACAGGATACACAAGCAAATAATGTATTCCTGCTCATAGACATCTCCAATATTTTAGGTGAATGCCACAACAATTGATGGGATAACACCTTTATTCAATGCATGCTCACGAGGAAGTGCACCTTGTGTAGAGCTCTTGTTGGAGTATGGTGCCAAAGCTCAGTGGGAGACCTGTCTCCCTTCTCCGACCCATGAAGCAGCCAGCAAAGGTAAGACATTAGAATTACTGAATGGATCAAGACATGCATCATGCATTGTAAATGCAATTTCTAATTTGAGAGATTGACACTGTCTTTTGTCTAGGCCACAGTGATTGTCTAGAGGTGCTGATCTCATGGGGAATAGATGTTGACCAAGATATCCCTCACCTGGGAACACCTCTATATGTGGCTTGCCTTTCACAGCAGAAACAATGTGTTCGCAAGCTTCTCTATTCAGGTACATGATTTAAAATGCTCACTATATTTATATTTTGCATGTTTTTTAAACTTAACCGGTCTCTTAATGTAGTAGTTCAGATTTAGTATGAAGAAAGAAGCCAACCACTACTTTTGTTCAGCCCAGATCCTTAAGTAATCACAATTCCTAGTTTAACTGCACATTTTCTTGAACTTGCCCCACTTCTTACTTTATCTGTAATTCATCTGTTCATAGCAGTGGATGTAGCAGTTAATCTGCAAATTAATTAAGCAGCCACAGTAAAAGTCTGTTCTTTAATGATTCAGAAAATACAATATTCATAACTAATCTGTATTACAAGAACTGCACTGTGTATTTTAGTGATGATGTTTCAGCTTCATATTCCCTCTCATGTTTCCCCACTGCTTCTGTCTTTTTTCTCACCTGAAAGAAAAGGCAGAATAGGTGTCCAATGCCATTTGACTGTAGCCTCAAAAGTCTTTGTTCTGGAAGCACCCTAATATTTGAGACATGATTACTTTGCTGTGATACTAATGAGTATATGCATTTTTCTTTTACAAATCCATAGGTGCAAATGTACAAAAGGGAAAGTTTTTGGAAACCCCATTACATGGAGCCGCAAGGCAATCTAGTGCCGAAATAATAAACATGCTTCTTGAGTTTGGGGCAGACATAAATGCCAAAAATACAGAGTTTGAACGACCTGTAGATGTAGCTTCTCCACGCAGTGCAGTGGAACGAATATTGCTTCTACAAGAAGGTAAAGGGTCTTCTCAAACTTACATATGACTCCCAAAGGATATATATTCCCTCTCCATTTTCAGGTGGTGGGGGAGAAGAGTCCCATGAAAATGGAGATGGGAGGTCAGTTGTAGCACTAGTTAGCATCAAGAAGTATCTTATTAGGTGAAAAGGTGTGGTTTCTCCTCCTCCTCCCACACTGCGCAAATGCATGCCTGGTCACCACTAGTCCCGGGCATCCAGTCTCAGGGCTGAGTTCAAGAATGCAACCCTGAGCCTACAGGGGATATAACCCCATCCAGGTACACCCCTAACCTGATCTGTCTTTTGACTGACTAGTGTATCTGTCTTGTTTGGACTAGTATATTAGGCAGCTGTAGAACCCTGGCTAGACGGATTTGCAAGTTTCGCCATTTTCTTTCTCAGTCATATTGCCATCTCTCTTGTGGAGCTGGTATTTTTGTTACATGCCATCTTTAGAAGACTTACTGAAATTTCATGGGGATTTTTTTTTCTGATTATTTAATTAAATTCCACAGTGCTTTGTTCTACAGTTTAAAAATATGATGGAAAAAATGGAAGGGCATTCTAACAGACACATGCAGATATTCAATCACAATAGTTAGATTTGAATATTATGTTAGTACAGTGTCCACTTGGACACACCACAAAAGTTGTAATAGTATAATAAACACATTGCAAGTTCTTGAGGATACAACAATGATACTTAATTTCATTCTTTCGCACTTGCAGCTACTCCATGTTCTCTTTGCCAACTGTGCCGGCTACGTATCCGAAACTACATTGGAAGATCTAGATTGCATCTTGTGCCACAACTGCAGCTGCCAACCATATTGAAAAACTTCTTACAATACAGATAAAGTAGTGACTAGCTTTTCAAAACCTGAACAAGTTATCTTAACGTATGTTTCACATGCACAGTTGTTGGGATGAGGGAGTATGTATGTGTGTGCGTTGTGAGGGGCTCAACCAACTCTTACGTACCAATCTATAATAGAAAACTGTCATCACAATTCAAAACTGTGAGATCCCTTGAGCAACCCAGTGACAAGGTGCTAATATAATTAAACAGAATAGAATTTGTTCATACTCTAGAAATGTGCTATGCACTTAATGTAGCATTTATTGATTAAATAATGCACCTTTCCAGGGGATTCTATTTTGCACAGGCAATGTAGTTAAATTCTTGCAGGGATTCCAGAGGGTGTGTTCACACACATAACGCTAAACTGATCCGTGAAGTTACCACACTGCATGGTATCTCACCCTGTATCTTGGGTTCACACATTTGTGTAGTAACTGCTCATGAATGATCCCATCATCCCCCACAGCTGAGAATCAATCCCAGAATGCACTGCTCCTGCCTGCCCTGCCTGTCATTCCTCTGTTGGCCTGTATGCTCCTCTTGGCATGTTCTCAGCCAGACATGCCTGGGGTTTTTTTTTTCCCTTGCTGCTCCGTGGGGCCACCATTTACTCATTAGAGTGGCATGGCTGCTCTGCAGGGACAACAGAGCAACACACTCCACTGCAAACCCCACTCTCTGCTCATGTGTAAGTATCCACCTGCACCCCTTCCCCCTCCCAGTGCTCCATCCTGTGTGCAGGATTGTACACATTGCAAGTGCGTGCTCTCTAATGCCTGGCCACCCTGCCTCACCGCCATGCCCATGTTGATGTTGTCATGCCCATCTCATGTGAGGCAGGTGTAGTGGTGAGACGGACAAGGTGAGATGGCTGCTTTGGCTGCCGAACTCACCAGAAGAAATGGTGAAGCTGTGGAAAAGCATCATAAGTTAAATCACATGTCATGACAAGCAACAGTGAACTGTAGAAACCTTAGAACACTGTTGGTTCTCCATGGAGATTCACTGTAAGCAAATCAACCATGTTTCATCATGTTTATGGATTTACCCATAATAAGAAACCATTCCCTGAATGGCTTGTCATTACGTGTGAGCACAGCCAATGTCTTTACTGCAGTTAACTTTACCACTTCCTGCAGAGTGGCCATTTTCTGGAGGCTTAAGGTGCAGGGGAGAGATTGGAATTTCTCACTTTCCAATTCTTCCCCAGCATTTCCCCTGTAAAGAACCACAGTCATGGAAGAATGACCAGATCTCTTGTCCTTTCCTGCCAAGAACAAGCAGCCCTTAGTGGGGCTTTCCCCTCATTTAATCACTGTTTCTCCCACAGAATCTGCTCCCCTAGTTGTTTATGGGAGAAAGCTGCTGCAGCTGAAGGAATGAAGGAGCTGTAGTTACCAAGAGCAACAAAGGACCCAAGGCTTGCTAATGGTTGGAATGATATGATGCTACATCTTTAGCCCCAAGACTCTTGCAGACTGCTGTGCTAGTGAAACTATACCATGGTGGGATAGGGACATGGTGAAAGTTTGGGTCTTGTACATCACACACTAGAGCTTTCATTCATAGATACAGTTTGTTTGCTTCTGTTATATTCTGGTTCAACAATGTCTGTTATGTATGTACATAGACATATGGGATGTTATATGCACTCTATATATATATAAACATTTTAAACATCAAAACGAGTGTCATTTTTCTTCCTCCATTTCCTCCTTAAATACTGCATGAAGAGCAGATTATGCTAATTTATTTATTTCTTTTAAGTCAACTACCCATTGAAATGTAAGTGATCAAAAACAGTCTGGTACGGTGCTAACAATCCAATCCTATGGATTTTTACCTAGAAGTGGAGTCCATTATGTTCAATGAGTAAATGCATACATCCTGTTCATACATGACTGGTCCTGCAAATCTTTACTACCAGATTCAGTAAGTGTTATTGAAACAAGAGCAGAAAGCAAATACGGCAGAAGTTCAAATGAAGATGCTTGCTATGACACAGGATTTTGAGTCTGTCAAAATTAAACCTTGTTCAAATCATGAATTTTATTGCCACCTAAACCTATTTTTATGGACAGAGTTTCCCTGCCTTCTTAGAAAACAAGCAGCTCTCATCCATCTGAGTTGAAGAAGGTTGGCTCTCTTCTAGAAATTTACCATTGTAATTCATTAGATTAATGATAGCACTGTTTTTTCCCCAAACCTTTTTATTTGGGTGATAGGACTATATTGATAGAAAAAACTGCTTTCTATCATATTTTTCTAGCACATATTTTTATATTAAAAACTGCATCAAAACCTTGTTTTATTAGCCTGAAGATAAGACATCTATTTTGAAATCCAAAGCTGTGATCATCAACATGTGAGCATGTGTGGTAGGGAGGAGAAGAACTTGCAGGTGACTGCTTCTGTCTTTCCCATTTAAGAATGTGTAGGTGATTAATGTTTTGTGCTACTCTTAACAGGTGCTAAGTGAACTAGAGCTCTCAATGGTGTTTACTCCAGAGAATAATGTTGCCTCTGGCCACATTGAGCTGATTAGGTAAGTCGGAAACAATCCAAATACCCCTGTTAAGGATTCAGGCTTTGCAAGATAGATGGTTTCTTCATAACAAAGGCTTGAGAGAGAGCCAAAGTAAACTGTTGATGCCTTCCTTAATGTCAGCCAAAATCTTTATGGCTTTGTTTATGACTCTGCTCTGTCCTTCCTATCCATCCAAATATTTATTTTGTTCTTTATATTTTCATGGTATTTTAGAAACAGCTTTTGGTCAAATCCTGTTAGGGTGCAATTCTATGCATATAGGGCTGAAAAATGTCCTAACAGCTCCCAGCCAGTCATGCACCAACCAATTTTGGGACTTTTTAGGATTGCATCCTTACTAGAGAGATCTAATTTTCTAATTGACTGCCATGCACTTTCACATTAACAAAAGAAAGAAGTCTCAGTCATATCTGGCAGGGTTGAGGGTAGCGAAAAAAAAACCCAGTCCCAGGACATGTCTTGAACACAGAGGGGAGAGTTTATTTAAACATAATTTCTAATCAAAGCCTTCATTGCTTCGATTTCAGCTGATTTTGGCAGTCCATCTGTGGCACTTCGGGTGGGGATGGAAAGCGGCTGGAGCAATGCAATGATCCCCCCTTCCCTGCTTTACTCCTTATTTGAGGTTGCTTTTTTGACCTCAGAGAAGCAGCTGATACAGTTCTTTCTATGCTGGTTGCAAGAGCCAAAGAGAGATCTCCAACCTCTGAGGTCAATGATCTGTTTTTGACCTGGGATCTGGGAATGCAAGGATCGTGTGCCCAGTCCAAGGGTCTATAAGGACCGTTCTTTATGATGTCCATAAAAACAATCCCTGACTAATGCATCTAGGTATGTTCATCGTCCATCTCTTGTTCTGCAAGCTCACATTCAAATCACATTTCATTAGCTGTGCTCAGGAACAGGTTTAATTATTCTTATGCTCCATCTGTGATTTTTGCCCGTTTAATCTTTATCTTAAATATAGTCCTGAACAACTAAATCAGTTAATATGAAATCCTATGGAACTTTAGACAGAAAAAAAAGGCTTAACACCCAGGTGCGTGTCCCAGCCAGCTTTGACTCTTTGTTATCTACACTTGCCTAGGATTGAATTTGTAAACGGAAGGCTGACACGGTTATACTACAGTATTTAGTTTAAAAAGGGAGTAGCTGCTGTATGTTTGCCCTGTCATACTGCAACTGGGATCAGCTATTTGGGAAGGGATTTGCCCTTTGTTTTCCAATCCCAGCAAAACAACAACTCAACATATGCACAGTCTCTGTGCGCGCCTGCACAAAGATGAATACCCGCACCGACTAACTAGCCTAGATCTGCGCAACAACGTAACCTGCTATCTCTCCTGAAACGAGGCGACAAATCACTCTACGTCTCGCTGACTTCCGGCAGAACTCCGGCCTATGAACACCAAGGAGAGGCGGGGCCTGTTTCTTCCCTCCCCGCCCTCATTTTCTGATGCAGCCTGGAGTTCGATGCGCGCGGGCAAAAGGTCTCGGCGGCCGGACGCTGAAACGCATGCGCGCTTCGGCGGCTAAAGAAATAAAGAAATAACTGGCGGGCGGGCGGAATGGTTGCTGTGGCAACTGTTGCTGTGGCTACCGAGGACGCCTTGGCTGGACCCTGCGCGGCGCTTCTCAGGGGAAGGAAGCGTTCCGCGAGCATCGTCGTCATCCTCTTTCCGCATGTCGTACTCTACCAGTCCGAGGCGCACGGGGCTGCCCCGGGCGGTGCTGCGCTGGCTGCAGAGCCTCGATCTCACCTTTGCGCCGACGCATATCCGTAGGTGAGGCGAGCGGGCCTCCCTGGTCGTCTCGCGTTTATCGAAGGGGCCGGCGGTGCCTGGCAGGCTCGCCATCTACAGAGGCGAAAACGCTCCAAAAGAGCCTCGGGGAATTTGGCTGCAAGGGGAGACTAGGCAAGGGCGGCCCCTTGGGAAGCTGTTCATCCTCCCCTTGAAGGCGCCCATCAAACTGCAGGAGCGATGCTAGATGCCTAAAAAATCCGGAACTAGGGCCATCGGGCAGCAAATTACACAAATTTAGATTGCTAATCTATATTGGCAGCCACATGTACGCAATTAGAGCCGTTACTTCCATTTAGTTTTTATAGAAGGCAAGGTAAGAAGTTCTGAGGCCAGAACTGTGCATTGTGTGCTTCTTTAAAACGTAGCCTCGACGCACTCTCACTCTTGTTTGGATTTTCAGACCCAAATCCAGATGGGGAAGATGGAGTGCCTGGGACTAGCAAAGAACTGTATGGTACCTCAGACATTTGCAAACTGGACGTGTCACACTAGCAAGGGAGACTGTGAGAAGGAATTGTAGACTGTAGTAACCCATCTTCTTAGGCTTCAAGCTCACAGTTATTAGGAAGGGGGTCCTTATTTAAAATAATTTATGTGGTAGTTTCTGCTGTTCTAAAACTATTAATTACAGTTCTTGCGCTATAATTTCTTGACATCCTAAAATCTTCAGCAACAATTACAGTATTAAGTTTTGTGCAAATTCCTAATCTTTTAAAGGTATCCTAAATACATATTAGGATACCTTTCTTAGAAGTCAGCAAAGTTCTTAAAAGGATATTGCCCAGCTGTGAATTTAGGGTATTTGTTTTGTCTTATTTTGTTGGTTACCTTTGGTTTGAGACATTTGTTTTTCAGATTTACCAGTTATCAATACCCAATTTCTTTCTAGAAACAGATATTGGAGCTATTGTTAGTACATTCATTCAGATATTTGCTGCTCATTCAAAACCTTTTTGCAACCTTTTTCTGTTTTTGCCCCTAGAGAAAGGGTTTGGGCCTTCTTGGAAAAAGCCAAAAACGAATAAAGTTTCTCACACACTATTTACTAAGGGAGCACCCAGTGTTCACACTCTTTCTCTTGTCAGGGGTCACTGTCTACAGTGGCCCAAGACACATGTGTAATTGCCCAGTAGCAACTAGGAGCACACCCTCCAGAAAAACGAGATGACAGTGTTATCGAACTCAGCCAGTCAACAGCTAGGGCAAACCCTGGGTGGATCCCAGACCCAAGTCAAAATGAGCCTGAGATGAGACTTAGAGCCAAAACCAGCTTTATTCTAGTGCGCTATAGAATAAAGGGAGACAAAAGAGCACATTCAACCCAAAGCAGTGTCTCGAAAGTTGCACCCCGGTACATGCGTTTTATACCCTAGGTAACCAATTAGTTCACCTAATACACTTCTAATGCATCAGTACATCGATGTCACCACACCCCCACTGCTGTTAGCTTCAAAGAGTCTTTTCTTCTGTCAAGGACCAGACATTTCCCATGTCTATTTCTTATCTGCTCGAGATTCACACAGGCTTGCCATGTTCCTACTCCCTTCACATTTGCAACTTTCATGGCGGCTATAACCAGTTTCCACTGTCCCTTTGATTGCTGTATTCGAGGTCAGGCTAGTGTGTTAGCTTTTGGTTACACAAAGTTCATTTTGTTCTTATCCTTCTAGGACAGTATAACTGTGGTGTTTTTACTATGTGGCCTTCCTCTGGCCAACTACTTTTGGGGTGTTTTGGGGTGTTGCAATTGGCAACAACAGTGGTACTGAGGCAGTTGTGGACTTAATGAAAATAATCGGCAGACTGTGGAAGGAAAGGTGGAGGTGTTCTCTCTAGACCAAAAGGATAGTACCTTCATGCTGTGTTCCGTATTAGTCCGTTAAAGAAGTGATTTCTAAGATCTCCTAGTAGTTTCAAGGCCTCCTACTTTAGAGGGAAGAAGCAGGCTTGTATTAAGGTAGATTATGGCAGTTGGGAGTTCTAAAGGTCTGTGCCTCATAATTAGATAGGGCTTTTCTAAGACCTTCCATGCTGGCCTGGTTACTCTTCCTACTCTCCTTTGCTTAAAAATATTATTATTATTATTATTATTATTATTATTATTATTATTATTATTATTACATTTCTATGCCGCCCCTTGCCGAAACCTCGGGGCGGCTTACAACATGATAAAATACATTGAAATACAATAGTACATAATAAATTACCATTAAATATAAAAATACAAAAAATACATTGATTTACAAATACAAAATTAAAATTATCAGTATAAAATAAAAATATAGGAGGAGAAAGAGAAGGAAGAAGAAGTTGCCCAGGCCAGATCATATGT